TGTGAGAACCTCTCACATCTGTGTATGCGCGAGAACCCCTGTGCAGCCGCTGATCTCACTGTGTGACTCTGCGACAGTTTGTTCTCTCCTGCTCATGTTATCCTGAATCTGGTCACAGATGCTTTTTTTTTCCTCTGGAGTTCTGGAGCATGTGCTGTAGAAGTCTGAGTGGGCACCTTCACCTTCTCACGCCTTGGCCTAAGTGACGCCGGACTTCGGTGTGACCCTCTCTGGAGCTGTCATCCCTGCCACCACCAGTCAGTTCTGTGTGGGTTGGAGTTAAGTTCAGAATTAAGTTTTGCCCAAAGGGGCTTCTTGGCTTCTGAGCTCATGATAGCAGGTGGGTCAGTCAAAAGCTCAGCAGAGGCTCCAAGCCGAACCAGGCCATGAGCCAGAAATGTCCACAGTGGTGGCCGAGGTCTCCCTGTCCCCACTTCTCTGCTCCCAGGCTATTTGGTGAGAACACCAGACAAGGCAGTCCTGGGGTGTCCTTGTGGCTGAGTGCCCCGCTGAGCTACCCTCTCACCCTCATCTGAAAATCTTCTGCTTCAGGTTGACTTTGTACTCCCTTATGAGAGTCTAAAATCCCTGCTCCCACTCCAAATCTGTACTCCTCAGTGTCCATTGTCTGCGCTCCACACAGCCAAAGAACCCAGCGTAGTCTGTACTTGTCCACAGACGCTCCTGATCACCCTGTCTGCCTCCAGCACCACGTTGTACAGGGAGACCCCAGTCATCTCATGCCTGACATCTCTGAGCTCACACAGAACTGTGGCTTACAAACATCAGCTTCCTTGGCCAATGAGAGAGAGAGCACCAGGAAGATAGGGGAGCACTAAAGAGCTGTCACCCTTCATCTCCCCGTCTCCCTGGGCAATCAGAGAAGACCAAGAGGAAGGGAGAAGAGCCCAGGCTCACCCTGCAGAATAAGAACAATGTACAGGCCAGTATGGTGGCTCAACAGGCTAATCCTCCACCTACAAGTGCCAGCATACCATATGGACACCAGTTTGTGTCTCAGCTGCTCTACTTCCCATCCGGCTCCCTGCTTGTGGCCTGGGAAGGCAACAGAGGATGGCTCAAGTCCTTGGGCCTCTGTACCCATGTGGGAGACCTGGAAGAGACTCCTCACTTTAGAAGGGCTCAGCTTCAGCCATTGCAGCCATTTGGGGAATGAACCAATGGATGGTAGATCTTTTTTCTGCCTCTCCTTCTCTCTGTAAATCTGCCTTTCTAGCAAAAATAAATCTTTTTTTTAAAAAATGAGAAAAACAAGCCAACCCCCAGGGTTTTATTTATAGAGAAAGGACTCTAGGCCTTCAGTCAAAGCCACAAGTTTGCCACCATCCAGGCCCACTCCATGGCCAACATTATGGCAGGTGGGCCAAGTTGCCATCTGCAACACTGGCATTGTCTGTCAGGGTGCTGGTTCAAATCCTAGCCCCTCTGCTTTTGATCTAGCTCCCTAGTGACATGTTTGAGAAGGCAGCAGAGGAGGACCCAAGTGCTTGGATGCCTGCCCATCCATGGGAGACCCAGATGGGGTTCTCACCTCCTGGCTTTGGCCTGGACCAGCTGTGACCATTGCGGTCATTTATAGAATGAACCAGTAGATGAAAGAGCCATCTAGTTCTCTCTCTCTGACACTATCAACATATCTTAAAAGAAACACAAACAAATGAACAAAAACACGCTTCCTAAAACTCCACCGCCCTTCCTGACATCTGCCCCTTCGGTTCTACCTTGGAGCTCCCACATCTGCTGAGGACACCAGCTGCCTGATGACCACAAGTCCAGGGAGGGTGAAGGACTCTCCTACATGCCTCGCGTAAGCCAATCAAAGCCCTCCTCCTCTTGGGTGCGTTAAAACCACCCACCCATGCTTTCTTCTTTAGGCCCGTCCCCAGTCCCTCGACCTCTCTGAGTCTCTTGTACATGTGCACATGTGAGCTGTGCACTACACATGCTTACACAAACACGCAATTCTGGGAAGGTCGGATGTGGCTCAGCTCTCCTGCAGTCCCCATTCTACACACCATCTGCCAGAAGCTATTCTAAGCACCTAAAGAGTTTCAGAGCCAATCCTGGGGTGTTTCTGCCCTTTGCTTCCCCCAGGACAAGAGCCAGGGATTCCATATGGAGCTAGAAGAGGAGAAAGAGCCCCCAGCCATCCTAGAAGTTTAGCAAGAGTGCAAATGAGCACCCTGCAAATAGTGCCCCAGGCTGCAGCTTTCCCCATGCAGAGCCAGAGCTCAAAGGACCCCAGCTCTGCTCCTTTCCCACCCCTAAGCTAATCGCTCAACCTCTCCCATGCCTCCACAAATGCTCACAGCAGCTTACCCAGTGCTAAGGTGCAAAGTGCTGCAGCTCAACCCTGTGGTTTCCAGATCCCCCAAGTCCAGAATGTTGCTTGAAAGCCTGTGTTCCTACCTTGAGCTGCAGAGGGAGTGTCCCCTCTCACAGACTTGTTGTGAGGATGAAGGGAAAACATAGATAGGAAGCACCTGGCGAGCTGCGCGGGTGCTGCTGTGCGTGAGAAGCCCCTGGGGAACTTGGGCTCCAGTGCCCAGCCTCCCACACCAAGTGAGATCTGGGGTTAGACACAGACCTTGCTACCTTTCAGGAGCTCCCAGGCAACTTGCACATGCCATTCTGGTTCAAGGGACTCAGTACATTTAAGCACCCTGCAGGGGCTACACAGCTGCCCCCATCAGCTGTGTCCCATGTGCCACCTTTCCCTGGGGTTTCATCTCCCCTCTGGGAAGGACTGAGGCAGAGGCTCCATCTTGGCTTTGGCTGTTGGAGTGGGTGTCGAGGCTCCCCTGGGAAGATATGTGCTGGTTCATTCATTCAGTGTCTTCCCCAGCCAGAGACACCTTCATTCACTCACTCTTCATCGACCTGATGCTGCCACCCCTCTGTAGGATGCATAGGGATATAGACAGGAGCCAAGTCCAGCCCCAGAGGCCCAAGGAGCCAGGCGTGACCATGACACCTGCTCCGGGATGGACTCTCATTGGCCATTCCCTAGGGTGAGTAGGAACTTGGAGAGACAGACCCCGCCCCCACAGAATCCGCTGCACCCTTCCCCGCACCTGACCCCCAGCAAGGCCCCAGACCTTCAGAGAAGAGGGGGGAAGACGTGGGGAGAGACTCCCAGAAGGGCCAGAGCTCCCCCAGGGGACCCAGAGTCTGAATTCTGGGAACAGGGCACTTACTAGGGGACTTTCTGGGAGTGCTCTGAAGAACTTACTACCCACGTTGAGCCCTCTGTCCCGCCAGGGAAGCCCAGCTGCAGTTACGCTCTGTCCTCTGTCTCACTGCTCTGGAGGCTGGATGGGCAGGGCATCAAGGCACACCCACCCCCCGAAGGAACACAGAGGCCACCGGCTCCTCCGGCTGCCCGCCCCAATATGGCTCAGGCGGGACTGGAACGGGGAACACACAGGAGTAGCAGGTAACCATGTGCTGAGTGAAGGCCACCAGGAGAGAGGGGCTTGGCAGCACCCAGCATGGAGGGCCAGGCAAAGTGGCGGGGGCCATGTGCTGAGTGAAGGCCACCAGGAGAGAGGGGCTTGGCAGCAAGCGTGGAGGGCCAGGCAAAGAGGCGGGGGAGGGAGCAGCCAAGCCCCATTTCATCTCCTGTCCCTGCTGCACCCTCTGTCTGCCTGGCCCGTCCTCATTTCAGGATTTGGAAAATCCCAACTAGAAGTACCCAAGACCTTCTCTTGTTCTCACTCCTCTCAGGAGAAAATCCCCCTGACTTAGGAGGAAGTTGGGGGCCATGAGCGCTGGGCTGCCAGCGAGGAGTGGACAGTGGCCACAGGGCTGCCAGAACTGGCCTTGTGGACCACCTGGGCTTTAGCACAGGTGCTGCCTCTCACCTGGCTCCTCACCCTGAGGGTTGAAGGTAAGAGAGGAGGAACAGAAGCTCTCTGGTGTGTAGAGCGCAAATGCCAGGAAAATGCCATTCAAGATAAGACTAGAATAGGCCCAAGGAGATGACGCTGAGACAGATGTTCAGCCATCTTCTGGGCCACAAAATAAAACTTATTCAGTGTGTTCTCTGACATTGGTGAGAATACATTATAAATTGGTAACAGGTTACTTTAAAAAATCCTGAAATATTTGAGAAGTAAACTATATACTTCTGAACAACCTGGGGGTGGGGGTCAAAAAAAGGGAAATGAAGAGATACTTTGCGTTTACTGGAAATAAAAACACAACACATGTCGACAGCTACAGGGTGCCAGTGGAACCATACTTAAAGGGAGAAGGTACAGAGCCCAACATCTGCTTTAGAAAAGGCAAGTTCAAGTCTTCTCTCCAGCCGTTCTTATCACTGACCTAGCATAATCACCTACGGGGTGCTTCCTCCACAAACTGTGGGTGCTCCAAGGACTGTAGAAGGGGGTCACATCTTCAGTCTGCAAACCCAACACCTGCCTGACCCACTATAACCTTCATAAGCACAGCTCGACCAGCATTGCTCCCGCACTGGTTTTCCTGTCAAAGGGACCAGGGGGTGCCCTCTGGATATAGCCTTCCTGTTCCTGTCCATCAGGAATCAACAGAACTCCAGCCCCTATTGTGGCCAGGGAGTCTGTGAGGACAGGACAAGGACTCGCTTCTCACATCCAGTCTATAAGGAAAAGCAGGGACCCAGCCACCTGACCCTTGAGACCCCACCAGATTCTTGTCCCCAACAGGACTTGAGCACCTGTCGTACCCTCACATAGTCTCAGATAGGCCTGTGCTACAACATGCACCTGCTCGCCCAGCACATCCATGCCAAAACCCCTTCCTTAGGTGTCACCAGCAGCTCTCACCTTGGAGAACCACTCCTCCCCCCCCACCCCACCCCCCGTGAAACGGTCATCCAAGATTCCCAGTCTCCAGCCTGGTCCTGTCTAGCCTGGGTACAGGCGAACCCTGGAACCCAGAACACCGTCAGGAGACACTTGCCCTCATAGTCACCCCCAGAAGCGACTGTTTGCCTTCAAGATCCCCAAAGGCAATCCAGTTCCTATGCCTTCCTTGTGCAGGAGCCATGCTAATCTTCCCTGAATCGTTCCGATATTGGTATATGTGCTGCCGAAGCGAGTATGTCCTATGCCTTCCTTTATTCTCTCATTTTTATGTTCTCTCTTCTCATTCCTTTCATCCTTCTAGCTCCCCTCATCCTTCTAGAAATGTGTTTGGCTGGAGTCCTGCAGAGCTGGTCTCTACGGGATGCAGTACCTCTGGTTCCAGGCTCCCACCTCCCATCATTAGCTGTGTGTTCCCGCCGCAGCATCTCTCAGAATCCAAAATGATCTTTAAAAATGCATTTGTCAGGGCCCGGCAGCATGGTCTAGTGGCTGAAGTCCTCACCTTGAATGCGCCAGGATCCCATATGGGTGCCAGTTCTAATCCTGGCAGCTCCACTTCCCATCCAGCTCCCTGCTTGTGGCCTGGGAAAGCAGTCGAGGACGGCCCAAAGCTTTGGGACCCTGCACCTGCTTGGGAGACCTGGAAAGAAGTTCCTGGTACCCGGCTTCGGATCAGCACAGCACCAGCCGTTGCGCTCACTTGGGGAGTGAACCATCGGGACGGAAGATCTTCCTCTCTGTCTCTCCTCCTCTCTTTATGTCTGACTTTGTAATAAAAATAAATAAATCTTTTTTAAAAAATGCATTTGTCTACAGTTTCTCTTCTGTCTCAACCATGTCAGCAAGGCCCTTTCTCTGTCTCCAGCACCTGGTTCAGGCCTGGCAACAGCAGGAACCCCAGAAAGAGGCAGGACCACTTGGGGACCTGGATATCACAGGAGGCCCACTTACTCTCACTTCCCTGGTGTATGAGGGGGGAAGAAAGATTCATTTATTTGAAAGGCAAAACAACAGGAAAATGGATGGAGGGGAAAAGAGAGATCTTTCATCCACTGCTTCACTGCCCAGATGTGTGCCCTGCCAGGGCTGGGCCAGGCTGAAGCCAGGAGCCAGGAACTCCATCCTGGTCTCTGACCACCTGGGTTCAAGCACTTGAACCATCTCCCACTGCCTTCCCAGGTGCATTAGCAAAAAATGTAGAACAGAAGCAGAGTGGCTGGGAATCGAACCAGCACTGTGATACGCCATGCGAGTGTCCCAGATGGTGGCTTAGCCCACAGGACTACAACACCTGCCCCCAGAGTGCTTATGGGAACGGGTGAGAGGGCTTCCACCCTTCCCAGGAAGGCAAATCCCAGCTTCAGATCCTAAAGCCAGGTCTCTCCTTCCCTCCCGCTCTGATCTCTACCAATCCTTTGTAAGTCTCAAGCAGTGTCTTGTAAATCTTTAATTATAAGAAAACCACAGCCCTACTAGTGAAGACACAAACAGTGCTGATAAATATTTAAAACTGCGACGGCAACGGATCTGAAGGGATTAAGCAGAGATACATTGGAGTGACAGTTATTAAACACTAAATCCCAGGGAACGTTACAGCACAGATAAATAATGCACACTCCTGACAGCCGCTCCCAGGCTGACAAGATGGGACCTGCTTGGGGATACGGGGCTGGGGAGGCGGTGGGTGTCACGGGGTTGTGGTAGAGGGGCGGGAGGGGAGGAGTGTCCTGCCTGGCAGCCTCTCAGTGGGAGCCGGATGGTGGCTGGAAGGAAGGATGGTGTCTCCACCTATTCTCTGATCCGTCACCCACGCCTCCCCCAGCATCTGCACTAGCTGACCCACTAATCCATCCAGTCCCTCGTCTGTGCGTTCTTTCATTCACTGAGCCAGGAACTCACGCGCACACTAATTATCAGTGACTCATTCACTGGTCAAGTGCTTACTGAGCACTTGTGACAGCTGGGGAGGTTCCAGGCGTCGCAGGACCAGGCCTGACCCTCTGGATCTTTAAGGCTAGCAGGAGGATGGAGACGGAGATGGGCGAGCCTGAGGTAAGGGGACCAAAAAGATGAAAACATCATAACACAGCAGGTTCTCGCCCTGGGGCAGATTCTGTATTTGCTGTTTGGCCTCTCAATAAACACTTACCAAGGCTATTGACTGTAAGGGATTTTCAAGGTTGTTAAGACATGAATTTGAGTTATGCAGGCCCAGAGGCTGGTGTGGGGAAAGGAAGAAGGCAGTGGACAGGTACAGACCGGAGAAGTCAGGGAGGACTTCTCCTGTAGGAGACATGGACTCGAGCCAAAAGCCAGGCAATTTACTACGTTAGCTCATTTAGTTATAGCAACCTTCCTGCCCCATTTTAAAGATCGGGATATTAGAGCATTTTGTCCAAGGTCACAATAGTAGCAGTAGAATAGCTTCGAACCAAGGACTGACTCCAAAACCAATGTGTGCTCCATTGTACACATCGTCCCCCACCCCCAGAGCCCTGGCCAGCCACCTCCACTGGAAAGAGGAGCCGGCCAATAACAAGACCAACTCACCTGATTCATCTGAAATGTGCTTTCAGTAAAATGTACAGACTTTACACTTCAATATACCCAGATAAATGTATACATGTAGGCAAATAACATCTAAATCAGGATCTGGAATGGCCCCTCCATCCCAGAAGCCAACCATTCCCCAGCCACAACTCCAGGGGCCAGCCCTGTCCTCATTGCTATCACAGATTCCCCTGGTGAGTTCTGGAATTTCATATCAATATCCCTAACCTGTACATGGTTTATTTCCTTTAACATCAAAAATCACAGCTTAGGGCCCATCACAGTAGCCTACGGACTAAAGTCCTCACCTTGCATGCAACAGGATCCCATATGGGCACCAGTTCTAATCCCGGCAGCCTCACTTCCCATTCAGCTCCCTGTTTGTGGCCTGGAAAAGCAGTCAAGGATGGCCCAAAGTCTTGGGTTCCTGCACCAGCATAGGAGACCCGGATGAAGCTCCAGGCTCCTGCCTTCGGATCAGCTCAGCTCTAGCCATGTGGCCACTTGGGGAGTGACTCAATGGACAGAAGATCTTCCTCTCTGTCTCTCCTCCTCTGACTTTTTTTTTAAAAAATCACAGTTTAACAGAGGGACTCCTATAAAACTAAGAGCAGGTGCATGTGGTAAATCACCTCTCGTTGGAGAGCCTGAATCAAGTGAGTTGGTCTTATTGTTGGTCAGCTCCTCTTTCCAGATTGCCAACTCTGCCTGTGGATCCAGCTTGCAGCTAATGGGCACTTATGGAGGTACCAAGTGAGGGCTCAGGTGCCCCTGCCCTACAACCTGGGAGATCTGGAAGTAGTTCTTGGCTCCTGGCTTTGACTTGGCCCAGCTTTAACAGTTATAGATATTTGGGACATGAACCAGCAAACGGAATATTTCTCATTCTCTCCCCCTGCCTTCTCTCGATCACCCTGCCCAAGAGCGATCATCCCATGTGACTGACGACCTGACACATCTCAGGCTGAAGGGGCCACTGCCATACCTGTGAGGTCTGTTTGTCGTGCTGGGCAAGAGTTTCCCGGGACAGAGATTGGCTCTGGCTTGCTATCTGCCCTGGAGAGCAACCAAGTCCTGTAAAGAACCCTGAATCTGGGGGTCGTCACTGTGGCACAGTGGTGCCAGCATCCCATATGGGCACTAGTTAGTGTCCTGGCTCCTCCACACCCGATCCAGCTCCCTGCTGATGCACCTCGGAAAGCAGCAGGAAGATGGTCCCTGCACACACGTGGGAGACCCAAAAGAAGCTTCAGACTCCTGGCTTCGTGCAAGCCAGGGCAGCCATTAGGGGAGTGAACCAACCCAACAGTTGCAAGATACTCCCTCTTTGCTTTCTTCCTCTTTCTCTGTCATTTTGTCTTTCAAATAAACAAACACCCCTGTGATGGGGGCCTGAGCACCTTGTTTGTTACTCTGGGTTCCTGCCTCACCCAAAGGTAAGAATTCTAAGCTGAGCTTAGCAGCATGAGCAAACAGGAGCCAAATTTATTTAGCAGCAAGGAGATAAACATATACTTATGTGCGTGAGTGTGGGCCGCCCACATGCAAGCAGGTCAGAGGGCTGCTCATGAAAGCGAACAAAGTAGTACCTGGGAATGCGGTCCATGACCAAAAGCCCTCTCCCCTATTCTGAAACTTAGGAGGCACAACAGGGTGGGATCTTAGCCCACCTTCCAATTCCTGATGGAACAGATGTACCCCAGGAAGGTGGGCATATCAAGAGGCAAACATTAGGGTGCCAGCACAATGGCATAGCGAGCTAATCCTCCACCTGCGACACTGACATTCCATAAGGGTGTCATTCATGTATCAATTGCTCCACTTGTGATCAGTTCTCCATTTATGATCTGGGAAAAGCAGAAAAAGATGGCTCAAGTCCTTCGAGTCTGGTACCGACATGGGGGACCCAGAGGAGGCTCTTGGCTCCTGGCTTTAGGTCAACCCAGCTCTGGCCATTGTAGCCATTTGGGGAGTGAACCAACAGATGGAAGATCTCTCTCTCTCTCTCTCTCTCTCTCTGACTTTCAAGTAAATAATAATAATAAGACAACTCTCCTTTTTAAAAAAGTTTTTCTTAATTTTAATTGGAAAGGCAGATTTTATAGAGAGAAGGAGAGACAGAGAAAGATCCTCCACCTACTACTTCACTCCCCAAGTGGCCACAACAGCCAGAGCTGAGCTGATCTGAAGCCAAGAACCAGGAGCTCCTTCTGGGTCTCCTGTGTGGATGCAGGTTCCCAAGGCTTTGGCTCACGCTCGACAGCTCCCCCAGGCCACAAGCAGGGAGCTGGCTGGGAAGTGGAGCAACTCGGATATGAACTAGTGCCCATATGGGATCCTGGAGTATGCAAGGTGAGGACTTTAGCCACTAGGAAACCATGCCAGGCCTTCAAGTAAAATAAATTTTTAAAAAATTTGTTTAAAGAGAAAACATAGCTGGGGGTATAAGAATTCCAGCTTTGGGGTCGACACTGTGGCACCGTGTTTTCAGTCACTCCCTGCAGTACCGGCATCCCATGTGAACACCAGTTCAAGACCCGATGTTCTACCTCCAGTCCAAGTCCGTACTAATGGCTTGAGAAAGCAGAGGATGATGCCCCAGGGCTTGGGACCCTGCACTCATGTAGGAGACCCAGAAGAAGCTCTCGGTTCCAGGCTTTAGATCAGCTCAGCTGCTGCCATTGCA